GCAGAACTGATCTTGCAGTGGATACCAGCCCACTGTGGTATTCAAGGAAATGAGAGAGCAGATGAGTTGGCAAAAGCTGGGAGTAATCTTCCACAACCTCATCCACCACACAGCTACAAGGAAACCAAAACAGCGCTAAAGCAATCTTTCAAGCGGGAGTGGAGAAGGCAGAATGGAGATTACAGACCAGAGAGTGACAGCATAAACAAACTCAACAGGAAAGAACAAACAACAATTTTTTGACTTCGGACTGGACACTGTGGTCTTCGAGCACACTTGTACAGGATAGGCACAAAAGAATCTGCTGCCTGCGATTGTGGAGCAGAAAGACAAACCCCTGGGCACATACTACAGTACTGCCCTTACCTCTCCCAGCAAAGACTGTGGATCTAGCCCAAGGGAGTCACATTGAAAGAGAAGCTATGGGGGACTGGTGGCGACCTTAAACGCAAAATCCTATTGGTGACCCAGACGGGATTCAATGTTTAGCATGACTGATGTCGAACACAGAAGAAGAAGAAGAAGCTTTGTCTCGAGAGTGATAAAGAAAGAATGAGCGAGGTGTCGTGACTAATTTTGATTCATACACATTCGTATTCAAAAAAAAAAAAAAAAAGGTCGTATATCTATGCAAAGTGTTTGCGTCAAAGCATGACTAATACCAAGTCAAGCCTGTACAAAAGTGAACGCAAAATGATAAAATGTGTGTTTTGAAATTCTATACATACACATGTTAATATATATATATATATATATATATATATATATATATATATATATATATATATATATATATATATATATATATATATATATATATATATATATATATATATATATATATATATATATATATATATATACATACATACATACACACACATATTTATATGTGGCGGTGTGATACGAACTTGTCCGCATCGGATACCACCTGAATTTGTTATGCCACTGAGCACAGCCTAGCTGTAAACCACAATACTGCGCTCTAATCGCACTTTTGTGGGCAAACGCAGAAAACGAGTAGGAAAAGAAGAAGAACTATGCTTAACATTTCTCAAGAGAGAAACTGTTTCTATGCGTAAGGCGAAACCACCTACCTGTTTAGGTTGAGTACATTGTGGGAGTTGGGGGGGGGGGGGGGGGGGATGTAGTCTTAACCATACCGTTGGGGAGGGAAAGCGGGAGAGGGGGGGGGGGGGGTTGAATTCAGAATCGACATCTTATCACTCAGGACATTTCCATAAGCGCTTAGTCCCCATCTTCAGCAGACTTCCAGTTCCCATTGGTACCAGTAACTGTCCGATAGTACGTCCGTCCCGCCTTTCCCTTGAGTGTTGAGCGTCGACCAGATCCTTTGGCAACTCCCCGCAGCGCCATTCTCATCAGATCGTAAATATCTATTTGTGTTTCTGCACTGTTCACTCGCTCCCAAGGGCTCTCACAACATCTAGCTTGTCATAAATGAATTAACAACCAACTTGGGCAGAACTGGCCAGTCTATCTGCCTTGCTGAAAGCTAATGGCACCAATCGATTGGTCAGTTTGTTACGTCCATGCTTCCAGCTACATGCTTACCATCCATACTGAGACTACACAATCTCAATATACAAGCCAGACCAACGAGGTCAATTTCGGATACCCCGTCTGGTTCGTCTTATTCGGTTGCTTTGCACAACAACAACAAAGAAAAAGTCGTCGCGATCAAACAGCATCCCCTAAGTGGGAACATTGAACTATCATAAGGTCAAGGCCCTCTGGGAACAAGCAACACAATCAGTAGAGAAACAAGATTATTATTGCTTGGAGAGAATAAGGCACCTGGGTGTAACCAGAGGGTCTGGCCGGCTCAGTACACTCAGAGGAAAGGCAAGACGGACATATAACCAGATTGTGACCATTACCACCAGTACTGGAACTCTGCGCTGGCTGCTGAAGATGAGAACAGAGCACCCATGGGAATGCCCCGAGTGCTGTGATATCAATTCTTGACAACTTAACTCAACTGGATTATAATTGTGACTAAGTTATGAGCCATATAAAATGGCTTAGCACTATACGCCACCAAGAGCCATGAAAAGGGCGTTTGCAGTGTTGGTGTAATCAGAGGAGACAGACCCAAATCCTATCACAACATGCGACGAAGTCGTCTACCGACCAGTCAATGGGTGATCTGGTCACCGAGGAGATACCCAATTCAGTCTCTAAAGAAGTTCAAATCAAGGCACCCTTAACGGTACAACAGCCAGATGTAACCTTCATTCCTAGGCAGACTCTACACATCTTTATCTCCCCGTGTAACTTGTAATGGCCTCGCGTGTCTTCTCAGTATTCTTAACAATCAATTGAGCAGACACGTCTGACTAACAGGATCTGCTTCAGGGAACCAGCTGAGTGAAAAGGTAAGGTTTGCAATTTAAATGGAATGAGTTTTAGCTTTAGAAATGCAAACTATTTCATTTCGTAAAATTGTTGTTGAGTGTTGATATAAAAAAAATGCGAAGAATGAAAGTCTTTTCTTGCAGGATGTTTAATCTCGGTATTTTCTTTCTCTCTCTCTTTTCTGTTGACGTGCCAGGTAAAAGTAAAACTGGAAAAATAGACTTTTTGCGAGTCAACACAATGTTTTTGTCGAATAAAAATTAAAAATGAAACAAACGTATAATATTTAAAGATGTCGGCCACAAAGATATGTTGATTTTTATAATTTTTTTGCCCTGGCACAAAAATGAGACTGATCTTTGTCAACCCCACTGGTACTTTAATTTTAACTCTTGAGTCCCAAGGAACGCATCCTACGTTCATAGGTTCCTACCTAAATAAGCCCAACTGTCGCAAGATGCACCCAATTTTACATCTCATTTGTCTACCCGTTGAGCCAGATACAATATATAGGTGTTTCGTCATTTTTAGGACAACATTTTTTTGTTTATTTGAAGCCCCACCCTGGCTTTTGCCAGTAGCCGCAATATAGGCAGGACAAAAATATGGCCAATTGTCTGAATGCGGTTTCTGGTACCTCTCCACTACGATCCTCATCCGCATGGTGGCATTTTGTGTCATCGGGTGATTGTCGCTTGTGTGATGTCCTGGTGGGGTAGAAAGTCAGTCAGTACCCGTTGAGCCTTTGAATCTAAACCTTCCTGGGACTCAAAGAGTTAAGTCACCCTAAACAAAGGAAATCCCAGAGTGTTGTGGGTGGGGTTAGGGTAAGAGCTGGGGTCAGAGTTAGTGTCTCTGAGGTGGTCGGTGCTAACAAAGGTCCTCACCCTAACCCCAACCCATAATTTTTATTGGCCCACAAGGCTGGTGTAAAATTACTAAAAAATCTGGCCTTTGAGCTTACAGAATAGCAGAACAAACAACCAGCTTGAACAGACACATTAAGGAATATATAGCTGTGCTTCAGTGGGTGAGTGTATCTCACCAGAATTGTAGTGAGATATTATAATCTTAGATTATCCCACATAAAAATCGTGTTACAAGGAAATCTGTGTGTTATGTTTATAATGGATTTTTTTCTGTATGGCCAACGAAGACTGGTAATTCGAAATTTCCCCTGTGGACCAAAAAAGAAAAGTTGCCTAACCCCTGCTTTAGATGCACATTTGAGTACTTTAAGATAACGGCTGTCTTGAATATAATGAATGAACAGAGTATCCATCCTTTAAAAGACTTAGTGGAGAGGTGAGCAGAGGCTTTTCAACATTGAGGGGAAAACAAAGGCGGACATTTAATCAGGTTGCCATGGCACTATTAGTATGAGAATTATTCGTAGTAAACTGACTAAAGAGATGCAGTACATGTTGGAATGTCCCGAGTGCAGAGATGTCAATTATTCATTCATTAATAGTTTTTTATTTGCATTCACCGGCTGTCAGTTCTGGTGAAAAGATCTGATTGTTTGTCCTTGTCTGATGACCTGAGTTTGTTGTGTGTAACTGTTTTACAGATGTTGCTTATTTGTATGCAGCCTGCTGGTTCCTTGCCTCCCAGGCAGTTGCACTCTGACTTAGAAGGAAGTTCCCCCCCCCCCCCCCAACCCCCTCCCCTTCTCACGACATACTTGTTGGGGAGGCATTGGGTCTGTTCTTGTTTTCCCCCACAGTGGGGCCCCAGAAACCACAGGGGGAGTTCAATAATTGAATAGAGCCGTTTTCTTCTTCTTTTCATTTTACCTGCACTCATGAACTGAGCAGCACAACTGTGAAATGAACTCACGACCTTCAGAGTGCAAGGCAAATGGCTTGACCACTTCGCCACAGAGACAGTGTTTTGAATAGAATGAGAGATGTAACACACTCAGGTGCTGAAAGAACTCTCTTCTTCTTTTTCTTCTTCTTCTTCTTCACGTTCACCAGCTGTAAAGTCTGGTGGAAAATTATGGCTTTTCGTCCATTTCTGGACTTTATTCCTATTCCAGAATTGAGTTTTGCGTCCACATCCATTTTATAGAGTTGGCTTATTTGTATGCAGATTGTTGGCTCCTTAGCTCTCAGACAGATGTTTGTATGCAGACTGTTGGCTCCTCAACTCTCAGACAGATGTTTGTATGCAGACTGTTGGCTCCTCAACTCTCAGACAGATGTTTGTATGCAGACTGTTGGTGCCTCAACTCTCAGACAGATGTTTGTATGCAGACTGTTGGCTCCACAACTCTCAGTCAGATGTTTGTATGCAGACTGTTGGCTCCTCAGCTCTCAGACAGATGTTTGTATGCAGACTGTTGGCTCCTCAGCTCTGTGACAGATGTTTGTATGCAGACTGTTGGCTCCTCAGCTCTCAGACAGATGCACAACCACTCCCTAAATAGTCAACATTACGACATGCTTGGGCAGTGGGTCTACCCCACCTTCACCCCCACCCCCCACCCATATGGGGTTCCTGAACCCACATGGGGAGCTGAAAAAATTAATCCCTAACTTGTGGTTTTTTTATCCTAGGAAATATCTGCACTACCAAGAGCCTCCCTGGAAGCTCCCAGATCCTGTAGATGCCGGTAAATGAACGCAGGCCAAATGAATCGCAGAATGCTCTTCAAGATTGGCGTCACTCTGGTTCTGGGAGTGGGCATCATTTTGTTCTACCTCGTCAACATTCAAGACCTGGAACAAAGAGTTGAGAATAAAAAAATATTGAGTGAAAATGATCAACTGTCTGACATCCTCGATAAAAGTAAGATTAGAGAAACAGGGCATAAAGAAGGTGATTCCTTGAAAGTGCCTTCACAACATCAGGTTCCGCATGATCTAATGGCTAATGAGACACTCACAGGTGTGATCATTTCTAAAATAGATATTAATAAAAACTCAAACATACTCAACAGCTCTAGTGTGCCGTCTGCACAACTTAACAAGACTTCAGCTAAGGACAAGCAGCATCCAGATATTACCTTTCAAGAAACAAGACTGGATCCGGTTATACAAAGGTATAACTAAAGTAAACTTTTTAGAATTTATAGCTTTCCTTTTTTTGATTCAACCAGAGAGGAGGTTCCTCCTCTCTGTAGCACACACACAAAGCCTGGGCAGTTTTGTAGAGACCATGTGTTGCCCATATGTGTTATCCTTCTCATGACCTGCTTTGTTTACTCCCAAAAAATAGTTTGACTTGCTTTGCGGAAAAAAAAATAAAAAATCATCACGTTTAACTAGCACCCTCCGAGGGGGGGCTTTTGGTTATAATTGTGACTAGGTTATGTGCGCCATATAAAATGGCTTAGCATTGCTTGCCACCAAGAGCCCTGAAAAGGACTCTTGCATCGTTGATGAGATCAAAAGAGACAGACCCAAATACTGTCCCGACCGGCGAAGAAGCAGTCTACTGGCCTGCCAATGGGCGACCCAGTTGCTGATGAGGAAAGGTAGCACCAAATACTGGACATAAAATTGCCTAGTGAAATCTTTTTTTTTTAAAGGCAAACAAATTCTGGGGCTGGTTCAATGATGTCCTGTAAAGGATATGCAACTAACTATCTTCTCTGATTCTTGAAGTTGAAAGCTGTAACATTCATTTTGTCTTTCATGTTTATATTGTATTGGGTATCAGAATAGCTTGACTTATGTTTGGGTTGAGTTTGATGTGTGCACGTGGTGGCTTTCTACTTCTGCCTTCTATCTCCCTGTTAAACCTTTGCTTTGAGCTGACCAACTCCTCCAGTGGGTTCTGGGACCCCAATGTGGGGAAAACAAGAATAGACCCACGGCCTTTCCATCAAGCATGTCATAGAAGTCTCCTAAGTGGCGGCATTCCTAGAAGTCAAGTAGATCTGTCTGAAAGGCAGGTAGTACCGAATACGTTATGTAGTAGCTCAGTCATATCTGACCAAGTTAACAGAGAACAGGTAGTACTGACTACTGTTAAATGGGAGCTCAGTCATATCTGACAAAGTTAACGGAGAACAGGTAGTACTGACTACTGTTGTACGGTAGCTCAGTTATATCTGACCAAGTTAACAGAGAACAGGTAGTACCAGCTACAGTTGTACGGTAGCTCAGTTATATCTGACCAAGTTAACAGAGAACAGGTAGTACTGACTACAGTTGTACGGTAGCTCAGTCATATCTGACTGTTAACAGAGAACAGGTAGTACTGACTACTGTTGTACGATAGCTCAGTCATATCTGACTGTTAACAGAGAACAGGTAGTACTGACTACTGTTGTACGATAGCTCAGTCATATCTGACTGTTAACAGAAAACAGGTAGTACTGACTACTGTTATATGATAGATCAATCCTATCTGACCAAGTTACCAGAGAACAGGCAGTACTGTTACAAGGCAGCTCAACCTTATCTTGTCTGGGTTACAAGGTAGCTCAACCATATCTAGTCTTGGTTTCAAGGTAGCTCAACCATAACTAGTCTGGGTTACAGGGTAGCTCAGCCATATCTAGTCTGGGTTACAAGGTAGCTCAACCATATCTAGTGTAGGTTACATGGTAGCTCAACCTTATCTAGTGTGGGTTACATGGTAGCTCAACCTTGTCTATTCTGGGTTACAAGGTAGCTCAACCATGTCTAGTCTGGGTTACAAGGTAGCTCAACCATATCTAGTCTGGGTTACAAGGTAGCTCAACCATATCTAGTCTGGGTTACAAGGTAGCTCAACCATATCTAGTCTGGGTTACAGGGTAGCTCAACCTCATCTAGTCTGGGACTGTAAAACTGTTTAATGTCTCCTCAGATCTCTTCCTTTTCCCTGTTCTGATCTGTGTCTGTGATCACATTTTTTGGACATAAAGGTAAAGGTAAGGACAACCTCTTCTTGTCACCTTCCCCTGCTGTTAACTCTAGTTCACAATTCTGGTTGTTTATCCACTTCTGGACTGTGAACATGCTTCTGATCTTGCATTTTGCACGTCCGTTTTACAGATCTGACTTAACTGTGTGCAGACTTTTGGTTCCTTGCCTCTCAGTTAGATACACTTGTGACTTTGAAACAAACACCCCTATCTACTTTCTTCTTCATCTCCCTGTGTTGATCTGAAAGTATGAATACGTTGTGTCCGTTTACAGCCTGATTGCAATATTGGCGCCTTGCGGCCGACACATCTGACTTGCGCATGCATTTCTGAGCACCCCTAGTTAGTCAATTTATAGTCACAACAAGCTTGTTTGAGGGGGGGGGGGGGGGGGGGGGGGGTCTATTCTCTTACCCCACCCCACCATCCTACCCCAAATGGGGCCTTAAAACCCACACGAGGAAATGGACAATTTGCCGTCTCTGGATGCCTGTTGAGTAAATGTGAGAACTCAAGGAAGTAAATGACACTTTTTACGCCAGTCGCACATTGGGCATGGGATACCAAACTTATATTTTTATACGCCAGTTGGCACTGGATGGCTGATGTGGTAATCATCACACCCGCCACCTTGAGGTCCCAGGATAGTGCCCCATTTTAAGCTGGGTCGACCTGAGAGCCAGGGTCAGTTTTCAAAAATAAAATGGCTATATGGAGTTAATTTCATATTTCATAGATCACCCAACACTGTTTGGTATCTAACCAGCCTCCCGTACTTCCGTTAACTTTTTTTAGTACATATATGCTATGTGTATTTTGTAAACATCTGGGTTACCTTTTTTTGTCTCTGTGTCTCTAGTCCTCAGCAGCCAAAGGGCAGTGCTGTCCATCTCTGTGTTGTGGTGTGTGATCAGCGGGCAGAGGAGACCATGGTGATGCTGAAGTCTGCGGCAATGGTCACTCAGTCGTCGGTCCCCGTGGTGTTTCATATCATCGCAGAGCCACGGCACCATGTTTTCTTCCAGGATCAGGTACACGGGTTCTTCTTCTTCCTTCTCCTCCTCTTCCATTTTCTCTCCTTCCTCTTTCTTCTTCTGCTCCTCCTCCTGCTTCTCTCCCTTACTCCCATTGGAGTCAAAGTTCTTGCTGTTTCATGGCATAGTGTCCTATCTTTTGCCATCTGGCAACTCACTTCAGGTACTCCCCATATATTTCATCGCCATCTCTGATTCTCTTCTCTATGTGCATTTAAATCTTCCTCTGTCTTATTTGTTCAGTTTAATCCCGTGCAAGGACATTCTAGTTAAACAGTTATAATGTTTCATCTCTTCTTGATGTCTTAATTCCTTAGAATGTGTTTTGTTCTCTCCATAAGATCTGTGTTATTGATTAAAAAGTTGAGTTAAAAGTGACAGGACACACATAGAGAAAACTTGATAATAGTGTAACTAGTATGTTCTTTCGCTGGAACCCACAGAAAGAAAATAATTAGAGATAAGAGAAAAACATACAGGGAGTTGCTGGAAAGATACAAGGGTTTCCGCCTGAGCTGGTTGAAGCCAGTGCCATCATGCACCGATTGGTCTGTAACATGTCACGTCATATGCCTAATGTGTACTGTCGTTAGAGACATCCTTTACTTTTCCTACTTGATAAGATATTATTTCAGTGACGTAAATGACGCTTTTCCTAACCTTCAGGCATATGGTGCTGGACCTATATTTCATAAACCAGTTAGCACTGGGTGGGTGATATAGTCAGCATAACTCCAGACGCCTTTACTTCGCAGGACTTTACCTGCACCCATTTGAGCTACATCGACCTGGGAACCAAGGTCATTTAAAATACAAACCGAGAAAACTCCACAGGTGAGCCGCTACACTATGGCGTCTCGCTGACTTTTATGTATAATGTAGCCAGTATATCTCTGTCTATGATGTGATTTCTGAATATCTTCCAGTTAAACCTGTAGCCCATCTCTGTATGTGATGTAATTTCTGAATATCTTCCAGTTAAACCTGTAGCCCATCTCTGTATATGATGTGATTTCTGAATATCTTCCAGTTAAACCTGTAGCCCATCTCTGTATATGATGTGATTTCTGAATATGTCTCCAGTTAAACCTGTAGCCCATCTCTGTATATGATGTGATTTCTGAATATGTCTCCAGTTAAACCTGTAGCCCATCTCTGTATATGATGTGATTTCTGAATATGTCTCCAGTTAAACCTGTAGCCCATCTCTGTATATGATGTGATTTCTGAATATGTCTCCAGTTAAACCTGTAGCCCATCTCTGTATATGATGTGATTTCTGAATATGTCTCCAGTTAAACCTGTAGCCCATCTCTGTATATGATGTGATTTCTGAATATGTCTCCAGTTAAACCTGTAGCCCATCTCTGTATATGATGTGATTTCTGAATATGTCTCCAGTTAAACCTGTAGCCCATCTGTGTATATGATGTGATTTCTGAATATCTTCCAGTTAAACCTTTTTCCCATCTCTGTATATGATGTGATTTCTGAATATGTCTCCAGTTAAACCTGTGGCCCAAGGTGTACAGACAGAATATAGCCTACAGAATCTATACGGTGATGTTTCCCAGCAGTTCCACGTCTGACTCGTGGAAAAAGCTGTTCAAACCATGCGCCTCTCAGCGACTCTTTCTTCCGGTAAGTGTTTCTATTCGTTTAATTTTGTCACATGGCTTTCTACTAACAGGCTTCACTATAAATAAAGCCTAGCCCCAGATTAAGCCCTATCATAATTTTCAGGCCATTGTGGTGCTGACCACATCACCCGCGGGTTGTTAACTTTTAATTCACTCCATCTCTGGGAATCCGAGATTTCTTGGGGAGTTACTGGGAAAAGTCTAATAGTATAGGCGTGTTAGGATGTGAAATGAACACTGGCCAACACTAACCTTACCCTTCCCCCCTCCCACATAATACTGGGCTTTCCCAGGGACCCCCCCCCCCCCTTGAAATCTTGTGAGTTCCCAATATGGGGTGAACTAAAAGAAGAGTACCACCCACCGAGTGCTGATTAGTCTATAAAATAAACGTCTAGCCCTATATGCCTGAACATGTGGAAGTGGGTAAAAGAAGAGTACCACCCACCGAGTGCTGATTAGTCTATAAAATAAACGTCTAGCCCTATATGCCTGAACATGTGGAAGTGGGACCTTTACTTGCTTTGATGATTTGTCAGGATGATGGTAATATAAGCCCTACACCAAATACAGGTATAAGTCTCAAGTGAAGATTCTTAGCCAGAGGGACGGATTTCATTTGTCCAGGGAAACACGTGAAAGTCCCCTTGTGGGTTCTGCGGCCCCAGTTTTGGCCAATAAAGAATAAACCCACTGTCTCCCTAAAGCGACTAATTGTGGGTGTTTCCTTCAAAGTCGGAGGGCCTCTGCCTGAGGGGTGAGGAACCAGTAGTCTGCATGCAAATAAGCCAGACCTGTAGAATGGATCTGCATGCGCCAGAACTTTCAGCTGGTGAACGAGAAGAAGAAGCTGAAGAAACACATAAATAAATAATGTTGTTGTCATTAATGCTTTTAAATAAATGCTTATATAAATTGTCTTCGGGTCATTGTAAATCAAGGATGGCTGTCCTGACTAAAGACGGCCGGCGTAATTCTGACCACAAATTGGAGTCTAGCATCATATGCACGGGGCTGAGTGGTCTTGAGGTATGGTGTCTGCCCTGGGGTCTAGAGGTCCCGAGTTCGAGCCCCAGTGAAGGCTGGGATTTGTTCACGTGGACTTCTAACAATTTTCCCTGGAGTCTGGATTGTCAGACCGGATACCCGTGTGTATTCTTTCGCTCTTAAAAAAATCCCTTGGCAGTTGGAAATCGAAAAGAGTAGCCCAACGGCGCTGCCCAGGCAATACAAATTTAAGTTAAAAATCTACCCAAAGTATTTTAAGATCCTTGCCAGTGCAACAGAGTTCATGCACTGTGCTAAGATTCTTCAGACTCAGGCTTGAGTTAGAAGTAGAACGGAGAACTTATGGGGTACACCCGTGTGCCATGATGTTGATCCTTCGAATATACATAAACAAACATCATATGCAACATGCACCACTGGCAAAAAAAAGGGGTCATTTTCTGTACTTGACACCTGTAATTTATTGTGTTTGGGAAATATTTCAGGACCTCCTCAAGTCTGTCGACAGCTTGATCTACGTGGACACGGATACATTATTTTTCCAATCACTAGCTGATCTATGGTCCCACTTTGCTCTCTTCAATGAGAAACAACTGGCAGGCTTGGTGAGCGAGGCTGAGGATGCAACCGCCGGATGGTACAACAGATTTGCCAACCATCCATTCTATGGGAAATTTGGTAGTTTGTTTTGTCATGTCATGGTGTTTTGTCCCTCTATGTTGTTTGTTGTGTACCCTATTTCTTGGAGGGTAAAAACAAAAAGAATCTGGTGAATCAATGGAAACAAAACAAATGGAGACAAAAACAGTGGACATGAAAACAGTGAAAACAAAAACAGTGGAAACAAAAACAGTGGAAACAAAAACAGTGGAAACAAAAGCAGTGGAAACAAAAACAGTGGAAACAAAAACAGTGGAAACAAAAACAGTGGAAACAAAAACAGTGGAAACAAAAACAATGGAAACAAAAACAGTGGGAACAAAAACAATGGAAAAAAAAACTGCAAACAAATTGATGAAAACAAAACCAATGGAAACTAATGGGAATGAAAGAACAGTTGTTGAAAAAAATATAAAATAGATAAGTGAAATATTTTTGCCACAGTAAAAGACAAGAGAGAGTGAAGTTAAAAGGATGGGGAGAGCTGCGTGCGATAGCGAAGGATAGAACGACTTGGCCTGAGTTGGTTGAGGGCCAGTGCTCCATTGAGGGTTAGAAAGGCAGAAGAAGAAGAAGAAGAAGAAGAAAAAGACATGGCTCTCTTAAACAACATACTGGAGGAAAATGTTCAAGGCAGTCCTCACAAATCTCTCTCACTGAGCATTCATTTAGTTAATTTTATTTATGATTATTTGTGTGATTTTTTTTAAATGGCACAGAACAGAGCAGTGATGGGATGAACCATTTGCAGGGAAGATGAAACCTTGACTGCAGAACAAAGCAGGGATGGGATGAACCATTTGCAGGGAAGATGAAACCTTGACTGCAGAACAAAGCAGTGATGGGATGAACCATTTGCAGGGAAGATGAAACCTTGACTGCAGAACAAAGCAGTGATGGGATGAACCATTTGCAGGGAAGATGAAACCTTGACCGCCGACAACTACCTTTTGATTATTACTGAAGTTTGTATCAATTTCTTCCTCTTCTATTTAATGTTGGCTAGCTGTAAACTTCAGCAGCGGTTGTTCAGACACTTCTGGACTTTGATCTGGTTCCAGAAGATGCATTTTGCTTGCATATCCATTTGACAGATCTGGTTTATTTGTATGCAGTCTGTTGGTTTCTTGACTCTCAGGCAGATGCGCTCTAGCTTTGAAGTAAGCACCCTCTAATTATTTAACTTTTACTACATGATTGCTAGATGGGCAGTGGATTTATTCTTTCCCCCCTAAAATGCCAACAAAAAGCACACGGGGACACCAATTTCTAGAAAACTAGTATGTGAGACATGGACAATGAGCAGACAAGCTGAATAACATTGTCTTGCAGCGGAGATGTGGGGTTTTCCTTTTCTTTTTAGAAGATGCATTAACAAAAAAAAACCCAGCCAGTTCTCCTCAAGGCAGATGGAAACACTAAACTAGTGAGTCAAATTAGATGTGGCCAGTCAGTGTGTTTTGAAAATTTTGTGAGAAGGAATGAACTCAAGATCTTGTTTACAACTGGCAAGATTGGCGGAGAAATGGCAAGAGGAAGACGAAAGGATAAATACTGGAGGGCTTTTGCCATTTGAATGGGGTGAGACAAGAACATTTTTTCTTTGCGCTCACCAGCTGTTAACTCTGGTGGAAAGTTCTGGTTGTTCATCCAATTCTGGACTGCAGTCCTATTCCAGAACCTGAGTTTTGCATGTGCATCCGTTTTACAGATCTGACTCATTTGTGTGCAGACAACTGGTTCCTTGCCTCTCAGGCAGATGTACTCCGACTTTGAAGAAAGCTCCCAATTAGTCGACTCTTATGACATGCTTTTGGGCAGGCAGTGGGTCTGTTCCTGTTTTCCCTATAGTAGGGCCCCGAAACTCACACAGGGAACAAGAACACTGAACTGTTGTGTGATTCCGGTAATCATGTGAGATAGCAAAACATGACAGCCTAGGCTTATCAGCACGGTTCATGATGATGATCATGATAAAACTATAATACCCAGAATACCCCATGTACAGATCATAACACCTAGTTTATAATTCCCTCTACACCACAAGGGAGATGTAGCCATGCGCTTGCATCGCCACTCAAAGACTAGGGTTCAAATCCACTTTGAGGCTTTTTTTTCGTTTTTTTCCCCTCCAAAATTGACCTTGGCTTTCAGATCAACCCAGTCTAAAATGGGTACCAGAAAGTAACCTGGGAAAGTAAAGGTGGCCTGAGTTTTCTTCATCTTCTTCTTCTTCTTCTTCTTCTTCTTCTTCTTCTTCTTCTTCTTTGCTTTCACTGGTTGTAAACTCTGGTGGAAAGTGGGTCTGGTTGGAAGGCGACAATAAGTATACTCTTGTTTTCCACAGTGAGACCCTGTGTTGACCCAGTGACACCCATAAAAATATCGGGTCTAGCATCATATACCCGTAGTGCCAGTGGCACTTTAAAAAACACTTTAGTCATTGCAGGGGATCAAGATGAGGGCATATGTTTGGTTTAGACGACGGATCAACATTATGGCACAAGGGTAGTAACCCATAAGTTTTCTGTTCTACGTCTGACTCAAGTCAGTCCCAAGATTGTCAGTGCAGTGCACGAACTCCATAGCACTGGAGAGGATCCTGAAATACTTTGGGTAGATTTTAAACTCTAATTTTGTCCAGGCAGCGCCGTTAGGCTACTCTTTTTCGATTTCCAACTGCCAAGGGATTTTTCTATGTGCGCAACAATACACACAGGCGTCCGATCTTACTACGCAGAGACCAGTGAAATTACTAGAAGTCCACATGAAAAAGTCTCAGCCTTCAAGGCATACCTTAAGACCATGCAGCGCCCCACCCCCCCCCCCCCTCCCCAAGGCAGATCGTTTTTTTCCTCTATTAATATTTCTTCGTTCACAGATTTGTCTGATTTCATAAATCGTTTCTAGAGCATTTAGTGGTGAACATTTAAATCCGCTAATGGTGAATTATGACAGATGCTGTAGCCTTTTGGATCTGAAGGAGTTAAGAGTAAGCAGTGGTGAAAATGAACACAGTAATATATTTTCTAAAACAGTTCAATGTAATGATATATTTTCCAGAACAGTTAGAGAAAATTACGTGATATTACAGAACAGTTAGAGAAAATGACGTGATATTACAGAACAGTTCGAGAAAAATGACGTGATATTACAGAACAATTAGAGAAAATAACGTGATATCACAGAACGGTTAGAGAAAAATGACGTGATATTACAGAACAGTTAGAGAAATTGATGTGATATTACAGAACAGTTAGAGAAAATGACGTGATATTACAGAAAAGTTAGAGAAAAATGACGTGATATTGCAGAACAGTTAGAGAAATTGATGTGATATTACAGAACAGTTAGAGAAAATGACGTGATATTACAGAACAGTAAGAGAAAAATGATGTGATATTACAGAACAATTAGAGAAAAATGACTTGATATTACAGAACGGTTAGAGACAAATTACGTGATATTACAGAACAGTTAGAGAAAATGACATGATATTACAGAACAGTTAGAAAAAATAACATGATATTTTGCAGAACAACTTTACCTGATGTCCTGTCCATGGAACTACAGAAGTGACCACTGCAAGTACGTGAGCAACTGCAAGCAGGCGGAGCAGCAAGGGGTCTCCGTGCTGCACGGTTCCAGGCGAATGTTTTATCAAGACAAAGAACCAGCTTTTGCAGCAATTTTTGAGACTTTTGCAAAGGTTTGAAGTGCAGTTTTGTTGAGTGGTTAGAGCATTTATCTGCGTTTACCCTTAAAAAGGTGGTGGAATGTTGTGTTGTGGACTACAGCTAGGCTGCGATATCTGCATCTTTTTGGCTCAAAGTGTTAAATTTTAGTATTTAGTCCATTTAGTTGCCTGTTTAGTGGTTAGAGTGACGGGCTGTCATGTAGGAGACCCGAGTTCGACCCGCAGTAAGGTGGAGTTTATTTTGTCGGGGGCAAAATTAAACGTCCTACCCTGCACAGTCGGTGGCGACAGCACTAGCCATATCGTCCTAAATCCTTAGGATGAACCTGCACAGTCCGTGGCGACAGCACTAGCCATATGGTCCTAAATCCTTAGGATGAAGGCACCCCCCCCCTTCCCCATTTACTTCGCCTTAAAAAGTGGTAAAACAGACAGTAGTGACATTTTACAGTTGCCTGTTACGACATGCTTGTTAGGGTACAGTGAGGTCCCCCGCCTAAGATGGGGCCTCAGAACCCCCATGAGTAGCCTTTCAACATGGTAGTCCTTGGTTGGACAACATTTGTAAGTAAGCTAGTCAGAGACCTGTTTGAGACACTGTGGCAATGTGGTGCTAGGTCAGAGTAAAAGGCTAGCTTCATCTTTCTTTTGTCAGTATCTGTTAAATATTGAATTGTGAATCTACATCACAAAAATTGGGACACTCCTATAAGCACTCTGTCCGCCTCTCAGCAGCAAACGAAGAGTTCCAATTCTGATGACACCAGTAACTTTCAGATTTTACATCCGCCTCGCCTTTCCCTTGAGTGTTGAGTGTCAGCCAGATCCCCTGGTAACTCCTCGCAGCGCTATTCTCCTCAGAACATATTGATCTGTTTGTGCCTCGGCACTGTTCTCTTGTTCCCAAAAATCCCTCACAACATCTGGCTTGTCATAGATCTATTCACCACCAAGTAGTGCAGAACCTGCTTGTTTTAAACACGCTGATATGACCTGGAGAAAATTTCCAAATGACGCTAGCTACCCGGAACCTCTGAAGCCGTGCTGGCCGCTCTGCATGGAGTATGCCTGTCTCCACCTTTCTTAACATGATCTGTGAGTCAGTTACACACACAACATGTCAGTATCTGCTGTGTGCCATTAAATGTCACAAGTCTACTGATTATAAGCAGCTGAGCCAGGGTGCTCTCAGTTGCTTGGTGTGCTGTGATGTGAAATCACTGCCAGTCAGAAACTCCTTCAATCTGTCTTCTTGGTCTCCCTCGGCCTCGTGATGTTTCCATTATGCTGTACACTGGTGATGTTTCCATTATGCTGTACACTGGTGATGTTTCCATTATGCTGTACACTGGTGATGTTTCCATTATGCTGTACACTGGTGATGCTGGCATTGTTATATTTATTCTGCCTAGATGGTCGAAACATTTCAGTCTGAAATGTTATGCTAGTTCCATACTTTTGTTGACAAATCTTCACTGGATTGGTGATGTAGCCACTTTTCACGGATCATTTCCCAGTAGCCATTGTAAGTTGAGATCGGAATGACCGGATAACCCAAATAAATTTTTTTAAATCGCCTTAAAAAAATAAGTAAAAAACACGAGACAACTTGGCCAGCAAACAAACATGCTAGTTACTGTCTTACAGTATCTTCCTTACTTTGGTTGATTGATCTCAAGTGATGTCTGTGTTCACACCTGGCTGGTGTGTCCATTATGCATGCTCTAAATATAACTTCTTTCGAGGTTGAACAGGGTATGTGGAATCTGCCTTGTGGGTCTGCCATCCTGATTGAGATTTTTTTAAATGTCAGGATGGTGTGATAAACCTTTAGGTAGCAGACCAGAGTGGACAAACCGATTGATCAGTCTGAAAATCACTGGCATGGAGAACCAAGAAGAAGGAGAACGATGTACTCAACTGCAGGCTCAACAGAACTGTTTTTCATAATGGTCTATGTGCTGCTTTGGTTGCTGTTTCACCGCATAATCTTAGCATAATCTTATCATGTCTCTATGTTATTCACTTAATCACTCTATTGAAATGCCATTGTTTTTTCTTTGTGATTTCCTTGTTTTCTTGTCATCATTTTCTTATTTCCTTGTTGTTGTTTTTTTCTTTTTTTCCCTTGTTATTTCCTTGTTGCCATTTATTATTGCCATATTTCCTTTGTTCCTTGTTATTTCTTTATTTCCTTGTTGTTATTTCCTTATGTCCTTGTTATTCCTTAATGTTATGTCCTTGTAGTTATTTCCTCATTGTATCCTTGTCATTCTCAGTATCGCCTTGGAGATGATCTGGAATTCCATTTTCTGAGAGTTCTAGAAGATGCCCTGAGAGCATCCAAGCCGTCCAACTGTGGCAAAATGTCTTCCATATTCCTGCAGCAGCTTCAGAAATTGCTAGACAGAAATAAAGAGCTCCATTTTATGATGGTAAGACTGGCATTGGTGCTTTATTAATATCTTACCCCAAACAGGGAAAATCCACAGGTCACGGGACAGTCTTATATTTCAGGGGAGTGGTAGATAGGCTGCATGCAGTCGTGAGACCTAGGCTGCATGCCATTGTGGGACCTAGACTGCACTCTCTCTTGGGGAACGTAGGTGGGTTGGGGTTAGGGCCAGTTCTAGATGTTTTAGGTTCATTAAAAGCATCAGAAACCTGGGAAACTCACTCTTACCACCCTCTAAAATGTTGGACTGTCCTGTGATGTCATCTGGAGTCAGATATTAATAAAGCACCCTGGCATTTTTTTAGAATGCAGGTTGATCGGTTGCCAACCCCGGAGCTGTTCGCCTGAAAAAAAAAGAGACCAGGTCTTATGTTAATGTTTTTTAAATAAGTGCGCTAGAGGGCTACCTGGTCTTATGGCATGGTGTCCGCCTGGAGTGCTGGAGGTTCCGGGTTCAATCCCCGTTAAGGGCTGGGATTTTTTCACATGGACTTGGACTTCTAGTAATTCCTACTGGTCTCTGGGTAGTGAGATAGGACACCCCTGTGCACTGTTGCGCACGAAAAAAAATTCCTTGTTAGTTGGAAATTGAAAAGAGTAGCCTAACGGCGCTGCCTAAACAAAATTTGGAGTTAAAAATCTTCCCAAAGTATTTCAAGATCCTCACCGGTGCTACAGAGCCTGTGCACTGTGCTGAGCTTCTTCAGACTCAGACTTGAGTTGGAAGAAGAAAGGAGCACTTATGGGTTACTACCCATGTGGCGTGATGTTGATCCGTTGTTCAAACTTCAAATAAATGATCTAGGGATTATTTTTAGGAGAATATTTTTTTTCCCAATACAGAAATCTACATTTATTTATGTATAAAATTCTACATTTATTAAATACAATTTTATCATCTTTTCTGGAACGTTGTCATAACTCTCTAAATCCTGAACTCCGGCATGAATTTCTTGTGATGTCATTCCTATAGAACACTGGCTGTCAACCTTCCTAATGCAGCGATCCTTTAATATAGTTCCTTATGTTGTGTTGACCCCCAGCTGTACAATTAGTTTCGTTGCTACTTCATAACTTCAGTGAATATGTGTTTACCGATGGTCTTTGGTGACCCCTGCAAAAGAGTCGTTCGAACCCAAAAAGGGTTGTGACCCACAGGTTGAGAACCGCTGCTGTAGAATCAGTGGCCGCTGTCTCACATTCCAACAATAAAGATATCCTTAACTTGGCAGTAAGTCTCACATTCCAACAATAAAGATATCCTTAACTTGGCAGTAAGTCTCTCATTCTAGCTGTCTGTCTCATCCAGGGCTTATTTTGGGGATAGGGCTTGTGTTAAAAGCATTCAGAAAAGCCATGGTAGAGCTTCTTTTTTAGGGTAGTTCTTTTGTGGGCTTTGGGGCCAGGGGCACAGTACCTCCAAGAAGTTCAGTTGCTGCGGAGTCATTTGGAATGTTTTTTAACTGTGACCAACGTGGTGTAGTGAACTTTAGAATTGGTGCTGTCTTATGGGTTTTAAATTGATCGTGTGTGCAGCTGCTGATCTGTTTGTTGCTGCTTCAGTCGATGATTAACTGCATTTCTATTGTCGTACTGTTTGTGTTGGCACTTCTGATGGCTGCCCAATGCTTCTAATGTGTGTGAATGCTAGTGGATTTACTGAGACTGCCCTCTGTGTCAAGTATTTCACAAGTACGGTGATGGACGTTCTGTATGTTGTTCATTGGCACAGGAGCCGAGCAACTATGGGGGTGACCTGTTTGCTATAAAGCTGAAACTAAGATTACCAGATTACAATTAAAACATTGTAAGTCAGTCAGTCTTCTTCTTCTTCTTTTGTCCTACTGCTTTTGCTGTAACATATCGTAGAAAGGAGTTAAGCATAGTTTCCTGTCTTTTGTGCTACTGCTTCTGCTGTAATACATGGTAGAGAAGAGTTAGATATAGTTTCCTGTCTTTTGCTAGTTGAGTAGCTTGTGTTAATGTCATATTGCATTTCTGAGGTATCTCTTTTACTCCTATCCAATTGCTTTCTTGGTCGGCGTCTTGACTTAAAGCTTGAATCCAAGATGGCAGTATAATCAGTAAGGTTGCCATAATGCAGTGAAGTTTGCCATAATGCAGTGAATGTTGCCATAATGCAGTGAATGTTGCCATAATGCAGTGAATGTTGCCATAATGCAGTGAATGTTGCCATAATGCAGTGAATGTTGCCATAATGCAGTGAATGTTGCCATAATGCAGTGAATGTTGCCATAATGCAGTGAATGTTGCCATAATGCAGTGAATGTTGCCATAATGCAGTGAAGGTTGCCATAATGCAGTGAATGTTGCCATAATGCAGTGAATGTTGCCATAATGCAGTGAAGGTTGCCATAATGCAGTGAAGGTTGCCATAATGCAGTGGATTTTTAATATGCTCTGTCTTTTGCCCTGGATGGACACTCTTAGACTGCTTTTTTGTCGAACTCCTGTTGTCCTCCCACTTGTATCTCTTGTCTACCTCTTGCCTTTCTTTCTCTTCAGTATGGTTTCTATAAGAGTGTAATGCCAGAATATTTCAATTGTGTTGTTTTGTTCTTCTCTTTTTTTTTCAGTTTAATGTAATTCAACAATTCTGTTTCCATTCCTGCTTTCTCCAGAACCTCTGTGTTTTATTGTTTTTGTTTCCATGAAACACAATCAGTTCTTCTGAAGATTCTCATCTGTAGAGACTCAGTTCAATTTTCTATTTGCTTTTTTTTTTATTAGAGCAACTAAAGCAATGGAATCTTTATCTTTTGATCCACAGGAACGAAAGTCTGATCTGCCGGAGAAGTAAGAAGTACCAGCTGTGTCAGCGACTCCATCATCCTTGTCATTGTTAACCACCAGACGTGTTCAGAAGCCATTTTGATGGTATATATGAAAGAGGTCAAATGAACTTTGAACTTGAATGTTAAAGGTTATTCCAAGACATATGGTAAAAATCAGTACCATCTCTCATGAAATGGCATAGATTGTGTCCTTTTTTCAGCATTATTCAACTAGCATTGTTATCTCTAGTGTGATGTTGATGTTGTTGTTATTGTTGTTGTTAAGAAACAGGAATAATTGGTCTTTGAAGTCAATACTTGTGATGCATCTAGCTGATCTGACGATATATTTTGCTATGTTTATTGGTCGAGTGGTTAAGAATGTTGGGCTGTCATTCAAGAGACCTAGATTCAAATCCTCAATAAAGTGATCGATTTTCTTCTGCGTTGGGTGGCCCACGTCCAGTTTTGGAGGTGGGGAAAGAAGGAATAGGCCCACTGACAGGTGTGTCTTAAAAGGCGACTAGTTTGGTGTTTACTGAAATCTGATATATAAGGCCAACGCAGATATTGCAGCCTAGCTGTAAACCACAACAAAATGTTCCAGTTTCTCTTATAAGCGTGAAGGCATAAGCAGAAGAAGAATCAGTCTGTAGAAGACTGTGTGATTTGTTTGAGTGCTGTCCATTGACACTTCAGGGGCAGCGGCACAAAAAGAAGAAGAAAAAAGTGGTTCAGTCGATAAACAGCAATCACATTTTATTGAAGGGAGTTTATAAAAAACAACATTTCTAAATATAGAATCTCCATTCACTCACAAATGACATGAGGGCAAACTCTTAAATGGGTTTTCGATCATGTTTTTCAAACATGCTCCACTCTGTTGAATAATTTATTTTATAGTTATATGTGTTTTCTATTTATATACATGTCTTTGTGTAGCTTTCAGGACATCGCAGAAGATGACTAATTAAGGCTTTGCTCAAGAAATCAGAGGGGGGGGGGGGGGGGGGGGGGACTCATTTGCCATTTAGTTAGAGAGAACCAAGACTAATGACTGCCCTCATGTGTGTATTCACTTCCCTGACTTGTACGGCTGGTAAGGAAGTAAAATGAGGAAGGACACTGACCACCACACTTGATTTCATAGCCAAAAATAAGTGAAGACCAAACCACATCACAATCTAGCAGCAGTATCTACTGAAGGACTATATAACTTGTTATTTTTTTTCCCTTCGGGTGAATAAATAGATTGTTTATATTTATAAACAATATAAGTAGATTGTTTATATTTATAAACAATATAAGTAGATTGTTTATAAATATACACACACACACAAACAATTTCAGTAGATTTGAATAAGTATATTGTTTATATATATATAAACAAGCTACGGAGGTTTGAAAATATATATATAAACAATTTCAGTCGATTTGACTAAGTACATTGTTTATTTATTGAACCTGCTTCATATTTTCATTTTAGTCTTCCCAGCTGTGAATTATCTATTTATTATTAATTGTTTGTGGTGTGGTTGGTTTCTAAAGGATGTTTAATATACCTTTAGCCGAACCCTGGTTACTATGTTTTCCCCAAAATAGCATACTTTGGATCTTTTCTCCTGGCCATGCCGGCGTAGTGGGTAATGAACAGGCAGACAGGTTGGCTGGATCTGCACCACTGGGTGGTGAATTGATACATGACAAGGCAAATGTGGTTAAGGCTCTTTGGGGACAAGCAAAAGAATCAGTAAAGAAACAAGATTAATATGGCCTGGAGAGAATGAGGCACCTGGGTGTAACCAGAGGGTCTGGCCGGCCCTCTACACTCAGAGGAAAGGCAAGATGGATATATAACCAAATTGTAACCGGAATCATCCGTATTGGAACTCTGCGCTGGCTGCTGAAGATGCGGACGGAGCACACAAGGGAATGCCCTGAGTGCTGTGATGTCATTTATTGACTCAACTCAACTCAACCCCAAACTAAGAACTGATCCAAAAACAAGCTCTAGAACAGTTTGTCAGGGTGCTGGTAATTTAACCCTTACCCCAAATTTAAGTCCTAATTGTGGTTATCAGCCATCTGGACAGATTTCGATTGCCTGTTGAAACAGGTTAGACATATGAATATAAAGAATATATAAATAAATTTAAAAAGTAATGTTATAGACATTAATGCTTTAATTAATTGATCATATAAATGTCAGTTTTTGTACATGAAAAGAAAAAAAAACATTCTCCGAAATTAATCCCTAAATCATCTTTGTTATTTTCAGGGAAACAGTGTAGCTATTAGTCCTTATAACAAAACTGGGGCTGTTAGTTCATTTGTTTAATTGTAAATAGGAGGGAAGTGTGTATATGTAATTGGAATCTATGAACAGTTGTTTATATATTTTGTACATATTTTGTCAGTTTTTCTTCTGAAAATGGGGCAATTGTTTCATTTATGTTTGAGTATTACAGTGTCTTTATTTTTACTAAATAGATTTGTTTATATGCTAAAATGGAAACGATCAAGAGAGGGTTTCTTTTTCTAAACTGAGAACAGAGCAAGAATGGGCCTTTATTATGTAAAGAAATGATCAAGAATGAGTTTTTGTTTTACAATGAATGAATGAGAATTGTTTTTCATATACCACATACTGTTTGCTATTGTTTTTGTTTTTGTTTTTTTAAATACCACTTAATGGATCAAAAATGGGTCTTTGTAATATAAATAAATGATCAATAATGGGTTTGTTATGTATTGAAAATATAGATAATGTTTTTTGTATGTCACTTTTTACATATTGTACAATTGTGTGCCATTTGATGATCAGTAATGCGATTTTTCTTTTACAGTTTAATCTTCCTTTATGGGTTTGCATTTTAATAAGGTAATGATCAGTAAAATATTTCTGTTATATGTCTTAATGACGGACCGTCAGTAATCAGGTTTTTATGTTTCGCTTAGTGATCAACTTGAAGCATTGAGCATTGTATTTAATAATCAGTAATATGTATTATGGGAGACGCTGTAAGGTATCGGCTTGTCTGTCAGGCCTGTAGGTCTAGGGTTCAAATCCACGTCAAGACAAACTTTTGTCCTTCGAAATAGACCTTGGCTGCCAGATTGAGCCAGACTTAAATGGGGACCAGGTAATGTCCTGGGAAGTAAAGGCGGCTGTCGTGACGTTGACCACATGGCTCTTTGGGCACAAATTGGTCTGTAAAAATTTACTTCCGCCACTATGTGTCTGATGCACCAAAATGCATGAACAGAGTCCTTTACTTACTTGTACCCCGTATGCTTGAGAAGTTCCAGACACTCACTTCTGGTGGTGCCATTCTCCTGTAAAAGTCAAGCTCCTGGCTCACTATAGTATGGCTGGTTTTTGAGAAGCTTGGTTAACAGAAGTGATTCTGTCTGCACCTGCGTGAATGTTTGGCAGGACTGGGAATAATTATATTTACCACACACACAAAAAAACACTTGGGGTTTGTTTGTGGAAAAAAAACAACCTTGAAATTCTGACATTGGTTGGTTTAACATTAGTCTCCCCAAATAGAGTAGGTCACTTTTCATTCACAAGATAGATGGGCTGGTCGACTTTCCTGAAGGTTACAGGTGTGTCCCGTTCTATTGTTTGGTTTCTGCGATGTCTTGCATTTACATTTTCCTTCTGAGAAAGAGATTGCCTGTGACAAAGGTTGCAGCTTTCTCTGGGGTGTTGTGTTAGACCCAGTTTCTCCATGTTTTTGGAGTGTTAAAAGCACTGGTGTGCTGAAATATACAACGTACACGATATCAACAGCATTGCGGAACACCCCTGTAACTGTGTGCGAAGGTCACTGGGCTCAGGAGCGACCAATCAGAAGTGAGCTAGTGTGTATATGGGCGGGGTCTGGGGAGACTAACGTCAAACTAACCCTGACATTATATGTTCCCATTAGCCTTAAGGTTACCAGGTCACTGAAGCCAAGTAATTGTCATGCTGGAATTTATTTTCAAGGCTCAAAAAGACATAAAAGCCAATTACTTCTTTGTCCGTTCAGTTTTATTGGATCTCCAGTCCTCTCACCTTTCCCTTCCCCCAACCTCTTTTTGGGGGGCATGTAAAGAGATTTTTGGTATTGTGAAAAATTCTTGCTTTTTTAAAAAGGAATTTGGAAAGTTTACAATATTTTTTTAAGGTCAGGGGGGGGGGGGGGGGGGTGGGGGTGTGTGAGTAAATCACTTGGGTGAAAGTAGGTCACCTGGGTGAAATGATTAAGTTCAAAGCCTCAGATATTTTTTTTTTCTGTGGCAGTTATAAAAGCCAACTGTGCCACAGATTCTCTCTCCGATATCATGTTCTTTACCAATTTGAGAAAATAATCTGTCTGGCCTGGGAGCTTCAGGATCTGTGAGTTTCTTTTTGGCAGCCTTGTTGGATTTCATGGGTTAAATAATGTGGTAGTTTTCCCTTGCAGTCCACATTCACATGGTTTTAGACTTTGTCCGTACTTCTGTTTTCCCCTCCGAGCTGTTGACTGCAGGTTTTATCATTCTGAGGTGGGATAAAGTTTTCGTTATTTAGTTAACATGTTTAACATGTATTTATTTAGTTTCTTTATTTCATCTCTTCTGTTGCTGTTTTTCATATACAAGTTGTCCACATGTGGGATGCAATTTTTAGTTATTTTGAAGCCCCACCCTTGTTGTTGCTGGGGCCCCTAATATAACCTAATGGTTGAACGGGGTTTTTGGGACCTCTCCGCGGGTGATCCTCATCTGAATGGTGGCACTTTGTGTCATCAGTTGTTTTTCGCTCATTGTGATGTCCTAGTGGGGTAAAAAGTAGGACATTAAGTAATGATGTTTCCTATAAATGTGATGGAAGTTTTTGTGTTTGTCCTATTATTGTTGAGGATCGGCTGGCCAAGCGTTACATTGTTGGGCTGTCATGTGGGGGACCCAGGTTCGACCCTCATAAATGTGATGGAGTTTTTCTGTCAGGGACAAATTTAAACATCCTAACCTGCAGAGTCCGTGGCAGCAA